TGAGAAAGCTTTAAGCAACAGCAGCAGTGTGTTGTGTCCCTGTGTCTTCCAGCAAAGCTGCCACAAAAGGTGGGCAATTAGGTTCAAGCAAACCAGGCCCTGCTCCTGTCCTAAGGCTCCCATTCAGTGGAAAAACTGTTGATCTCTTGTGTTAGGTTTCAGCCATTGTTCACGGTCTGGCATGGAATTAATCCCTTAAAAAAGGGATGGGGGGGGGGAAGCCATCCAGCACAACACAGTTTGTCATTGCATGCATAATGCAGGCTTTCCAATTAGAATGCTACAATTTGGAAACTTTCTTCACAGACTGATGAGAGAGCAATTATTCTAAGAAGGGAAAACTCAGTCCACTGGGTTTGCCTCCAGTCACTTCTGACTCAGGCCACAAAGACAAGAGTTTTGAAATCATATTCACTATTGAATTTTGTATCAAAACACCAGCAAGGAGAGCAATTAGTTGCTGTAAACTGAGCCCCGGGTAATCAATGATATGCAACCAGCCAGAGCGTTTATGGAAGATGTAAGCAGAATCACATCTGCTAATCAATTTTTTTTTTTTTAAACCAGCACTTTACTGCTTTTAGGGAGACTCCACTGTAAGAACAAGGGGAGATGGAGGACCCGGGATGTAATGTCACCAGGCTCGTTAGATGGGGAGTCTGTGGCAACCATTCACAGACCTGATCTGCACCGGTGAATGTCTGGTGGGATAAAGTCAGCCTCTTTGAAATTGGCTTCTGATAGTGGGGTGGGGAGGGAGGGGTGTGTTTAAGGAGCTCATCTCCTTTAAGGTCATGAGGAGTGTCTGTGCTGGGTGATCACACTCTGCAAACATTCCCAGCCAGATTACAAGCCAGAAATGTCTCTATGCTGTCAGTGCAAATACTTAAGAACAGACTTTGCAGGCAGACAAAGAAGTGAGGAGAAGGTGGTGGGGCTTTACACTATGCCTAACGAGAGCTGAATTCTAACCCGTAGGAAGAAAGGAGATTGGGCCAGCTTTTCTTTCAGGGTTTTAAACTGTACTTGCTTTTTCAGTTGAATCAACAAAAGGATTTTATTCCTGATGAAGCCTAAGTTCCAAGCAAATAGGCATCCTGGTACACAAATTGGAATTCCTCTAAAACTGCACATGGAGAAGATAGCCCTACACTTGATAACCTGCCATCCATCAGTGTCCCTTTCCACTCAAGAGTCACCGTGACCCTGCATTCCCCAGGGACTCTTAATAGAAGACTAGGAAGGAGATGTCTTAACCAGTGTGTGCTCTTGGCTGCTATTCAGGAAAGAAAAGATTTAGGCTAGGAGAAATTATTGAGGTAAAGATCGATGGACTGGGCTAATAAAAATTAATATCTTTAGCATGTCAACTATGATAGGCAGTGAATTAATATCCTTTAGATGTAGAGGACATTTTGTAAGTCATTAACAAATGGGATAAATATAGAAAATGCACAGAATGTTCAAGTTCAATGATAAGTTTAAAAAACCTGCAGATCAATGAAATGTGTTTCATCTATAACAGCAGCAGTGTTTCTAAGATTATCAGTGAGATGAACAGAACAGGCACTGGCTAGAAGCTGCTGGCAGTTCAACCTGTTACAGATTTCTTTTGGGGTATGGGAGAAAAGAGGTCAATTGCTAGTTTATACTACATACCACAGCCACAGAATGAGAATTTTTTTAATACAAACTTTCAAGGGAACTAGTGGATCTAACTGAGAATGTCTACTATTAAAGAATTTCCTAACAGTGAAATATTACTAACTACCTAAATGGTGAGTACTAAGAGACTTACCATTATATTGTGGGGCATCCATAGAATGAAATGCTGTGATGTCAGTGCCTATGCTATAGATGACTGAGGCATGACTTCTCTGTGTAACAGACCTGGCTGTCCTGGAACTTAATCTGTAGACCAGGCTGACCTTCAACTCAGAGATCCACCTGCTTCTGCCTCCCAAGAACTGGAATTAAAGTCATGTGCCACCACCAATCAGTTTACAGATTCTTCTAGTACCACCGTCACTCCAGGAGTCCGAAGACAGTTATCATACTCAACTGCTCATCTTTCTGTATCTTCTCCATGTCTGGTATCCTCAAGGTGATCTCTTTCCATGAAACATTGTGTGTTAGATTCCATCCCACAGGGACCGAGTGTTTTTATTTGGGTACCCTATCAGACACATACTCATAGTTACCTGGAAGGATAGGTGGTTGTGATGTTCTGGTTCTCCACTAATAATTCCGAGTCCTGGTGAGAGAACCAGGTGTTGGTGGTACAGGCCTTTAGTCTCAGCACTCAGGAAGCAGATCTCTGAGTTCAAGGTCAGCCTGGTCTACAAAGTGAGTTCTGTGACAGCCAGGGCAACACAGAAACCCTGTCTCAAAACAAAACAAAACAAAACAAAAATTCCCAAGAATACTAGTGACGATTGTCTTCAGAGATTTCCCCTTATGTGTAATAGAAAATGACTATTATTTGATAGCAAGCAGAACTATGGTACAAAGAACCAAAGGGACAGGGACTGGACCTTGGGGATAGGCCTGTCATCTTAACTGCTCAGAGACCTGAAAAGCCAGGGATTCAGAAAATTCAAGGTTACCAAGTGAGAGTTCAAGGCCTGCCTTGGCAACTTAGATCTGCCTCAAAAGGCACAGTAAGAGCACTGTGAACATAGCTTAGTGGTACAACACTTGCCTAGCTCTAGGTTAAATATCCAGAAGCAATCACAGCAGCAGTAATTCTCCACAGTAACCTTACACATGACACAAAACTTATGCAAGGATTTTTATTGACTGTAATTTCGGGATTAAAGAAGACCCTAGGAATGGGGTTATGGAGTAGAAATACAACCTAGATACATAAAATGGGAATAACAGAGCTGGTTGGTGGCCCATGCCTTTAATCCCAGCACTCTCGAAACAGAGGCAGATGGATCTCTGTGAGTTTGAGGCCAGCCTGGCCTACGGAAGCTACACAGAGAAAGCCTGTCTTGAAAAACCATAAATAAATAAGTGGGATTGACAGACCTGGGTTTTGATCAGGATACCAGGTTGGAATCTTGCATCACTCACGTGCTGACAATGAGCTTAGATAAGGTACTTAAAACCACAGGTTCACTTCTACCATCCATATAACGTGAGGAGTGGCATCATGCTTACTAAGAGGATATTCAGGTGGGTATAACAGACCAGACTGCAGAGCTCTTGACCTGGGGCCTGACCCACATAAGCCTTAAAGAAATGTGGGCGCTCATGGCCATCATTGTTACTGCTATGTTTGCCCAGCTGACATCCACTGAGCACTGGCTCCAAGTGAGAAGCTGTTGCAGACAGACTATTTAGATGTGGGCGCTACATTCAGGGTCCTCACGGCTGTGAAGTACATGCATATGACTTCCTGTTCAGCAGTCTGATAGTTCATACTGTGTGTAGGCTGAGACCGTTACAGATCCCACATTGAGAGGCTCAGGTTCCGTTTTTAATTGAAGAAGCACATATGTAGAGTGTGTGGGTCACACATCTTTTGTGCATAGCTTGATGAGTATTTATATGCTCCTGCAGGCATTAACTACCACTGAGATCAAAGTAGCACATCTTTGGCCTTCTAGAAGTTGCCCTCATCCCATTTTCTAATCAGCACCTTCCTTAGAAGGTATTCTGAAACTGGTAGGTAAGTGTATTCTGCTTTGAACTTCATGTAAGTGGACTCATAGTCCATTGAAGTTCTCAGCTGAGCAAAAAGAGGGCTCAGAGCAGAACCGAGATAGTAAATTCCCAGATAATGACTATGTTTTCTGGTACACTTGGCCCTCACACACTTGGGGTACACATAGTTGAACATTGATTTAAATTTTTTTTGTTTGCATAAAAGGACACAGATTTTGTTTTCTTGTCAATTCCTTTAAAAATACAGAACAAAACCATTTGTATCACATTTGCTTTATATTGGGTATTATAAGTAACTTGAGGATAATTTGAATTATGAGGAGGCCAGGTAGGCTGTTAATAACTCTGTAAAAGGAGTTCTTAATTGGTCTAGATAATAAAAGGCAGGAGTCAGCTATAGAGGGAAATGCTGAGAGATCAGAGAGAAGGAGCAGCCACAGCACACCTTACCTCCTAAGCGTCTCCGCAGAGAAGTGGAGCAATTACCTGTTTGTCCTTGCTTTATATACTGTTCCTGCCTGTCTGTACAGACCTCCAGACCTCTATGGTTAGCTAGACCCCCAGATAGGCTTTATTTGTGCAAGAAAGATATCACCACATGACATTGTAATCACAGCACTTGAGAAGGTGAAGCAGGATTGTGGGCTCATTGGCCTAACCTACACCACAAGACCTTGTCTGTGGAGAATGTGCACCTGTACATAGACACACATCTTTGTATGTGTATGTATCTATCTACCTATATGAATTTGTATTCAGGTGTGTCAGAGGTATATGAATATATATGATTGCACAGATTTTGTATAATGAAATATATGTGATATGTTACAGATGGACTGGGGGTGCTAGACATTAGACATTAAGGGATAGCTGTATCTCCACACCAGGTGCTCTTACCACAGTCGTGTGGAAAATGAAAAAAAAAAAAAAAAAAAAAAAAAACGAGAAGAAGAAGCAAAGCATGGTGAGTGCTTGATAGCACCAGTTAGAAAGCGCCGAGTCCCTGAGCAGCGCTTTTGGGATGTTACCCTCAGCTGGCTCAGAGGCTACAAATGACAGCTGGAGAACCGGAAAAGATGCCATGGGACGTTCTCCCTCCAGAGTCAGTCCAAACCTTGCTGCTAAAGGGACAGAGGTTCCCTGGGATTGGGTGGTAAATCAAGCAGACTTCCAAAGAGCTGACCCCAGCTCTTTTCCTACATTTTCATTGGGATTCACTCTCCTACAGCCAGGTTGCTAGATGGGGCACAGGGGACAGGGGTCAGGGGAGGGATGACACAGCCCCATGTTAGGACTCAAAGACAATGTCGTGTTTTCTCTTTGTTCAGGTTGTTACTCTGGGACTGTGACGATCGAAGCTACAGTTACTACATTGAGGTTTCCACCAATCAGCAGCAGTGGACCACGGTGGCTGACAGAACCAAAGTGTCCTGCAAGTAAGTAACGTCTCCTCCGCTCACTACAAGGGCAGCGCTCTGTGTGCTCAGAGGCCCCTGAGAAGATTGATGCCGCCACCAGGGAGCTGAAGTACATCCCCATGTTCTTTGTTTCAGTTTTGACTGTTAAGAATTTAAATGAGAGTTTGCTTGCCATGTCCAAATAAGCTTTACCTGTGAACTGAACTTGAAAATGACTGACATGTCCAAACAGGAATGTAAGAGACTCCTGTGCAGTCTGACCTCCATCCTCCAAGTCCCACACTATCCTTTTAGGAACTTTACTTCCTCAGAGAACTTAACTTCAGTGGTTAGTGTGGGGCTCTGTCTTACTCCTCACCTAGTGCCATTCCTCACAGCAGACCTACCTCATCCAGCCCTAAACTAAGGAAAGCCATGAGCCTTAGGCTCTTCATGGACTTCAGGACTGGGTGTCTATTTGAGCTTGCCTGGCTGTGGGAACACCTAGAAAGGAAGGGGTCTGTGGGTTCTGGCCAGTCTTTAACCATGATGCACGAAGAGAGCTTGGTGCCTATTGGAGGAGAGTTTCTTCTGGGAGACAAAACAGCAAAGCGAGATCTCATCTTTCATAATGAAATTACAATCCTGTACTAGTCAGATCTCCATCCCCACGACACAGCACTGAGAAACGACTTATACAGATGAAAGGTTTATTTGGGCTCCTGTTTCAGAGGTTTCTGCCCATGGTCATGAGCTTTCCAAGGGGCCTCTGGGGAGCTGGAGGAAAGGAGGCGCTGGAACCCTAGCATTACCTTCCAGGCCATGCCTCTGGCTACCACCTCCCAGGACCACAACACACTGGTGACCAAACCAGCCTTTAGCATGGGCCTTCAAGTAGCATTTTACATCCAAATGATAACACCTTTATGTGCTCTAAGTTCACACTCACAAAGTGTATAACAGTGGTTTTTAGTGCATTCTCAGGATTGTGCAACCATCACTCACTATCTGATGTTCTGCAACAGTTTCAATATGCCCTCCCCTAGATAAATCTACTTCCCTCCAGCTGTTCCAGCATCTAGAAATTTCCTTTGTCTCTCAATTTTCAGATGATGGGAAGCCTATGTAAATGGAATCATGTGCTGAATGACCTTTTGTCCTCGGTTTCTTCTCCGTAGCATGTTCTCCAGTTCATTCTGGAGATGAATTGTGTCGTGTGGGAAGATTTTCTTTTGTCTGGGTGAATAATATTCTATGTGTGACCTTATTTTCTTCGGTTGTTCATCCTGACAGATACTTGAATTGGTTTTTCCTCTTTAGCTTTAATGAATAAGACTGCTTTGCATATTCCTTACAGGAGAGTGTGTGGACATACTCTAAGTATTCTTGGATGTATACCTAGGAGCAAAATTGCTGCATGACATTTCTTGATGGCATCAATGATGGTGTTGGACTCCACACCATCAGCACTGCTGTTAGAGTAACTGCCTGTAGCTCTTTGAAGAACTGCTGAGCCACTTTGCATGAGAAGGACCAGTTTCCCATTCTTACAAGTCTTGTGAGCCACAGTCAGGCCTGGGGGCACTGAATTGGGCCCCCTGAGGCTTTGATTTGCATGGCTGATGCTGCTGAGCATCTTTTCCAATGCTTACTTGGCTATAATTTCTTTTCTAATGTCTGCCTTTGTGGCTGATTGGTTGGTTGGTTGCCAGAATTCCGCTAGGCAGTTGCTCCCACTGAACTATGCAGCTGGTCCATGATTTCTTACTGCCATTGATGATAGTGTGTTAGACTGAGTGTTCAACACCATCAGCACTGCTATTAGAGTAGTTACCACACAGCGTGTTTTATGGTGAAGTTCACATTCAGGGCTATAACAAATAAGCTTCAGTCTTTAACTGGCTTCATGTAACAGTGTGATTAACAGTCCACATGGGTGTTCCTGCTTGTCAAGTGGCCCCTTCTTGTGGGTTCATCATTGTTTGGGGGCTCATCACTGTCTTCTGCATCTAGGAAATACAGGTCATGGAAGCAGAAAGAGAAGGGACGGCTGGTTCTAAGAAGCTCTGGCTTGTACAGTATGCATTCCTTCTAGTCACATGCCACTGGGGACAAAAGCATCCTCTCTACTCTGGTGTGCCCGGACCACCACTTCTTACGGGAGCATGAATCCTGTGAGCACCTTGGCCACAGGGTAGAAAACAAGATATTATTTGCTAAGTAGTATTCCAGCACTTTCATATACTGTCTGAATACAAAGTGCTTAGTGGGATATTGTCCTCATTTTATAAAAGAGAAAATTAATTTGGAAAGAAGAAGCATCTTTCCCAAAGCACAGATTTAATCCCGGACTCCTTGCTACTTAGCACACACTGTACAGTACCCAGGTGTTACTGAAGAATGCCAAACCACCTTGGGTGGAGAAGCAGGAAAAGAGGGGGGATCTTTGTTTCCAAGCTGCTGGAACCCCTTCCAGACAGTGGCTGCCTCTAGGCCCCATGAGCCAACTTCCCCGTTCCTCTCTCCAGAGCTGGTGAGCACAGCTCACTCGCAGGCCAGAGTGCTTCCCCACAGCTCACTGTCTTTGGCATTATTGACAGTCCCCTCTGTCATTTGTACTTTTCTTTACAGTCTCCATCCAGGGAGCTCCACAAGCCTTCAACAATAGTGCACTCATGTCCTAATGGTTTGTATTGAGCTCCCTGGGGTTGTGTGACTGAGGGACTGACTCTTCTGTGTACAGATTGTCTCGGTGCCTTTGCTTGGCCAAAACATATTATTGGTTTGTTTCCATTAATTGATGACCTAAATAATTGACAAGATTTCTACTTCGATTTTAGCACTCAGGTTCTCCAGTAGCATTTTACATATTAATAAGCTATGGATGATTCATCAGAACAAAAGAGAAAGAAAAGGCAAGATTCTGTCCACTCCATTAGAATCCGTGGAGCCAGTGATTATGACTTTACACTTATAGATGTAATCTCAATTTACTCTCCCCCACACCTTTAAACATAGTCCTTCAAAAGATGTGCAAACAGTTCTCTTTACTTACGTTTCAGAGCAGATGTCAAGAGGAGGCTCTTTAACTTCTGGAACTGTAGCCTGCTTGTACTGAGAGGTAGCTTGGGTAGGGGTGGTCGGGTACACAGAGGCCTTAGCCCTTGTATGCTTGGCCTACTCTTGCTTGCTTTCAAGGTAAAGGATTCTTCCTATTGTGGATAACCATGCTTTGGTATTGAGAGTTAAAAAAAAAAAAAGTACTTCTTCTCAAGCTCTAACCTTTAGTCTTCAACCCTTATATTCGAAACACTATTCTCTTCCTCTGCTCTCCTCCAAATTGTTGAACCCTAATCTTTTCCAGCAAATGCAAACAGCACGGAGAGCATTAAGCAATACCAGGGGATGTAAGCGGAGAGCAGAACTTGACCTTCACTTCTTCCCGTGCTTGTGAGGCGTTTGTTTTGTTTCCTGTTGACTGCCATACTATCAACAGCATCTTATTCATTATTCATTTACCAGCTTTATTAACCTCCTACTCATTTCTGGGTTATGTTTTCTTTTTAGTTGTACTAGAATGTAGTTTTTAAAAGTAAACAGTATACCTGACTTCTCCTTTCTGGTCCCTCCTTTAAGGCAGAACCTCTTGACTTCCCACTATGTTTATAAAGAAATGGATGCCCTGTGTATGCTCTTTCTTTCCTACTTCTCATTTTTGTCAGAGGACACTTTGCATGAAGGAGTCCATGGAGGGAACCCGCCATGTAGGCCTGGGGGATCCAACTCAGGTCTTCAGGCTTGCCACAGATGCCTTTACCTGCTGAGACATCTCACTGGCCTAGTTTGTTTGATGTGGACTCTCAGTAGGTAGGTACCCCTGGCTTGATGGGAGCTTACTGTGTATACCAGACTGGTCTCAAATTTGTGCTGATCCTCCTGCCTCTTGAGTTCTGGTATGACAGATGTGAGCCACCATGCCTGCTTTTCCTTTGTTGTTCTTTGAAGCTGTGTTAGAGGCTTTCAGAAATAGAGAAAAGTAAAAGTGTTTGTAGTGTGTGCCATCTTGCATCCAAAGTCTCCCAAATGCTGCCTGGCTCCCTTGGGGTCAGCTATTGGTAGTCCTGTGCCTTGAATTGCTTTCTGTCTTTTTCTCTGCCAAACCTGTCACACAGCTGTCTTACTTCCTATTGGGGTGTATTTCTCAAGTGCCGACCCCATTGTGTCCACACTGTAGCCATCTCTTTGACAAAGTAGTAGTGACCTTAGCCATCTCCTCTCTCTCAGACCAGTTTGGCAAATGGATTGAGCGGTGGTGGGAACGGTATCTTGTCACTTACAGGTCTCCGGCTGTAATCTGGGACCCCCTGGCCTAACTCAGGGGCACCAGTGTCCTCACAGAGTGTTGTCTGCCTGCCAGATTGGCTGCCCAGCTGAAAGGGTTTTCCAGTGTAAGAATCCGTTAAACATGGTGTTGCAGAGAGAAACAGTGTACACTGAGGATGATAAAGCAGAGTTAGAAGAGTGTAATCAAAAGAAGAGGAAGGCAGTAGAAAACCCAGAGGAACTGGGCCACCGCGTTGATAGTACTGCCCTTGTGCAGATGGTAAGCAAATTATTTCTAATTTTCTATATTTTTGACCAGTTCACACATACTCCTTGGAAAAATATATTTAGAGAAAGCTACATTTGTGGAAACTTTTTTTTGTTTTTCCCCTCCCTCTTCTCCCTTTCTGTTCAGAAAGGGCAGGCCTCCAATGGGTAGCAACAAAGCATGGTCTATGAGGTTGCGGTAGGACTGAGCACCTCCCCTTATATTTAAGGCTGGACAAGTCACCCAGTATGAGGAATAAGTTCCCAAAAGCCAGCCAAAGAATTAGGGACAGCCCCTGCTCCCACTGTTAACTACCCAACTGTCACATATATGTAGAGGTCCTAGTTTGGTCCCACGTAGGCTCCCTTGTTGGTTTAGACTCTGTGAGCTCCTATGAGCCCAGGTTAGTTGATTTTGTGGGTTTTCTTCTGATACCCTTGACCCCTCC